CTGGGGAGAACCAGCGCCTCCTTGCGCGGGGTCCCCGGGCCAGCCCGGGCCGCGGCGCTGGCCTTCTCGAGCCATCAGGCAGCGGGCTTAATGTAGCAACATCCCGGCGTGAAAAGCTTCAGCGGCTTGAACTTCAAATAATTTATTTCTAAATTACTTCTACTGTAATTCCTATTAATTCAAATAGGCTTCTAAGCTGATGTAAAATTTGGTAAATGCAAGGAACAGTTTAATGAATTGAAAATAGGATTGAGTCTTTTAAAGTAAATGCAAAAAAATATGCTAGCAATAATTGCTCGGATGGAAATCGAATCTTAATAGCTTTGTTAATGATTTGTAGTGACTATTGCATTTATGAGAACGTATCAAGCTGATCCTTGCGCAAGAACCTCGTTTTGAATGGCTTTGATAAAATTATTCCCCAGAAGCAGCTCGTGCCATTGCACGTTTTTGCCTGCATCGCTGTTCGATACGCGAACGCCGTCGACGCTGGGGCCTGACCGTGGCTGCTAAGGATCGGTTCCGCCCTGCGCGAGACCCCCGTGGTTTTTCTTTCCCCCGGCGAGATGTGGGGCGGGCGGTCGAGGACATGGGGCAATGCTTAACTCTTCGCTAGGTCCAGCGCTAGGTAAGGGGTGCAAGGACACGTTGTAGTCTGTAATGGGTTGTCCTGCCCCCAGTTGTCTTCCACCAGCTCGGAAGCCCCTGGGGCGGGTGTGAGGTCTCCCAGCACCCAGGTGCTAAGTTTATTCTGATGAGTAACATGCTCTGTCGCCCGCCTTGGGTCGGGTGGGTGGCGTTACTTGACAAACTCGGGTCTTACAGGGGTTAGAAAGGCTCGAGAAGGCTGCGTTAAGGGTGCTGGCGGGGCGGCCGGGTGCTCGTCTTCAGTTCCGAGGGATCTGAGCGTGACCGATGTGCGGAGGCGGAGCAGGAGCCAGGACAGCGTCTGTGATGGGCTCGTTGCCTCTCTTGCCGGGGGCCGGGGCGACGCTTGGCCGGGATGGGTGTTACTCTGTTTGGTAGCAACTTTTTACATAGCGGTTCGAAGTTCGTCAGTCTGGAGGAAAGAAATTCATCCCACGAGGGCAGAGAAATGCTGAGGCTTCAGCTCGCTGCCAGCGGGCGTGGAAAGGTGGCTGACGACTTATCCGCCTCTTCCTTTCCAAACGATGCAAACGTTTTGTCAAACATGAATTTCCAAGGCACATCAAATCTGGCGAGTAATTCAAAAAGACAGACAGACAGACGGAGACAGTGCAAGACGAGAGGAAAGCCGGAGGGTAACGAACACCCACCCCCAGATTCCCTGCTTGCAAACTGCAGCAAAATCATGCGGGTTTGCGTTTTTCGTGGCTAACCGGGAGCTGGACGTCTCCCTGTGCCGGGTGCCCACCCACCTCCACGTCGTTTGGCAGACTGGCCACCAAGGTTCCAAAATTCCTCCTGCTTCTCTTTGCCTTCCCAGCCGTGAGGTTGGAACGCGGACCCCAGTCGTTGCCAAAATGGACTCCCGTTAGCGTTCCCCCCGCTGCGGTCCCTCGGGTGGCGTCCCCCGGTCCTGCCTGGGCTCCGCGCTCCTCCCGCCCGCTTCCCGATCCTGACGAGATTCCTGGTAGGTAGGGGAGAATGGAAATCAAAGCGCTTTGTTCACGTTCCCATCCCTTGCGCTCTGTAACACGTGAAGCAGATTCCTCAGCGTGCGTGCGACGTGATGGTGCGACTCACTCGGAGGGGAGTTTTCGGGGTGATGACCTGTCAATGATTGCAAGGCTCCCGTCGCATAATTGCACCGAATCCTTCTCCTCCCGCCCCTGGCCGTTAATAGCGCCTACTGATATCACGGAGGGAGTAAAAGTGGGTCCCTGAAGCCTGTCGGCTCAAGCCAAAGGACAAACGCCTCTCACGGCCAACTCTTCGTTGAAGCACAGCCGGGAGAAAATGGCTCTTTGCGATATGAAGCGTGCTCCGCCGCGAGGCCGCTCCCGTCGCAGAGCTCCCTTCCAGTTCCCCCTCCTTCGTTTAGTGGTTCGGGGGGGAAGATCCGTGTTTGTATTCCCCGGCCTTGCCGTTTGGAGTGTTTCTCGTGCGGGTAATTGCATCTGCGCAGCATAATTAATACCGGCCCTGGCAAACCCCACATCTGGCTGTGCCAGGTACCTTTGCTTAGTTACTGGGGGGGACAACGGCACGCGTGAAAGGGGAGGGTCCCGTTCCCGTATAACCCCGCTGGCCGGAGGACCCAGGCAGGGGGCACGACTCGCCGGCTGCTCCTCCTCCGCCGCCTGCCCGAGCTTTCCCCTGCGGAAAACGCAGGGTGGTCCCCGGTCCGGCCGCTCACTTAAAAATCCAAGATCGTTCTGGCGGAGTGGCCCAGGGCTTGTGCACGCCGAGCGTGCAGATGGTGGAGCTTTTCCTTTCCAGGTGGAAACCGCTGGCGGCGTCGCTGATTCCGCTCTTTCGTCTCTGTGCTCTCTTTCAGGTGATGGCCAGAATTTGGTTACCGAAGACGTGACGGTGGTGGAAGGAGACGTCGCCACCATCAGCTGCCGAGTCAAGAACAGCGATGACTCGGTGATTCAGCTCCTGAATCCCAACCGGCAAACGATTTATTTCAGAGATTTCAGGCGTAAGTTTGTCTTCCCTTGTTTGACGACCACTTTTCCCGCGCTCGGGAGAAAGCGTGCGCGGAGATCTCTTCTTTGAACGTGGTGCCAGACACTTAAAGTTTAGTCAATTCTTTAGAGGGTAGATGAGACAGGCAATCATAATCTTCCTCCTTAATTGAGGCCTTGATGGTCCCCTTTAAAAGTCAGCCCGTCGTACTTTGCGGTAGGAATTGATCGTAGTCATTCAGGGTGAATTGCAATCGAGCACCAAATATTTAGCTGACACAAACAAATCGAACAGGGCGGCGCCGAGACGGCGCCGTGTTCTCAGAGGTGATCTCTTTGGTTGGAAGACTGCACGTTTCAAGGCAACCTGTGCTTCCTTAGAACCAAACCAAAATCCCCCGTCGCTGCCGTGTCCCGTGGAGGGCTCTGGCTTTGTTTCCTCCTGCGACGATGCCACGGAGCCACCGTTCTAACGGCGGGCGCGGGCGGGGGCTGGCTCACGCCGCTCGTGCCGCTATCCGAGGCCTTTGTGTCTGGCTGCTGAGATTTAAAATGCTCGCTTTCCAAATTCCTAAGAGCATTTGGACAGCCGGTACCGGTCAGGAAACAAATTTTAAGCTGTGCTTTTCCCAATTCTTTTCTCTTTCGCCTGCTAACTGCGAGCAGCCAGAAATGGGTGCGGGTAAGCAGTGGATTTTCACAAAAAGCGGTTTTCCTACGTGTCCCTAAGCCACCTGATGGTGGAACGGCGTGCAAAGAGCCGATGCCGTGCCTGGTGATTTCCTTACCTTGATTCTTCATAGCGGTCCGAGAAGAGAAATATTTTGTCAATGCAGACGTACGGGTGCGAGGCAGGATGGGCGCTGCAGTCGGGAACCCGTGGGGTGCTCGAATCGATGCTGCCGTTTTTATAGACCTCGGCCTTCGTGGCGAGCGAGGGGGGATGCCGCGTCTCTCGTGGCAGTCGCTAAGGCTCTGCTTGCTCCGCAGCGCTGAAGGACAGCAGGTTCCAGCTGGTGAACTTCTCCAACAGCGAGCTCCGAGTGTCCTTGACAAACGTCTCCATCTCTGATGAAGGGAGGTACTTCTGCCAGCTCTACACTGATCCCCCCCAGGAAATCTACACCACCATCACAGTGCTCGGTAAGGACCGAATGGGTGCTTGAGGTGACCTTCGTAACCCCAGGGTGCGTGGGGTCAGCGGCGGGGGGGCTCCGCGCGGCGTTGGGAGGGCTCCAGCCGCCCCGAGAGCGCCGCGGCAGTGGTGAGAGGCAGCAAGGACCTGAATGCTGAGCGCTCTCCCGCTGCTCAACGCAGCCCAGGACTGGAGCCCGCAGGCGCGAGATGTTCCAGCCTTGCCAGAAATACCAGCAGGTTGCCCGCTGGCACGCCAGAGCCCTCGGTCGCCCTCCTGTCTTGCAAGAAGGCGTCCCTGGTTGCACCCTGAGCCTCTCTTTGTAGGTTACGTCGTATTTAGCATGGGTCTCTGGTCCTCCCCTGGTCGCAGGCAGGTTTTGGCTTCAAAGAGGGGTAAGCGTGAGGCGTTCTCCACTTCCAAGGCGTTCTCCACTTCCAAGGCGTTCTCCACTTCCAAGCCGCTCTTGTGGGCAGGTCGCTTGGAACGGCTGCCCGGTTTTCCTGCCC